CAGTTGCGGCTCCTTCTTGAACCTGTTCTGCTGCTGCTTCCCCTTCCCCCCCCTCCTGCTGCTGCTGCTGCTGCTGCTGCTGCTGCTGCTGCTGCTGCTGCTGAGGTCTAGGGGGATGAGCAGCAGATAAAAAGTTAGAAGCATCAACATCAGCATATTCTAACGGCAGCACTAAGACAATCCCGTCCAGCGCTTCGTTATAAAATGTCTGTCTTTCTTTCTCCAGCCTAAATAAATAAATAAATAAATAAATAAATAAATTTAATTAATTAATTAATTAATTAATTAATTGTATTTGTTTGGTTATTTATTTGTTTCAATGTGCGGGTGATAGGGAAAGATCAGGGCTGTTGCTGCTGCTGCTGCAGCAGTTTGCTGCTGCTGCTGCTGCTGCTGTGGATGTTGTTGTATCAACTGCTGCAGCAGCAGCAGCAGCAGCTACAGCACACCCCGTAAATCTCTGCTGCTACAGCAGACACTAAAGAGAAACAGCAACCCTAAACCCTAAACCCTAAACCCTAACCCTAAGCCCTAAGCCCTAAACCCCTAAACCCTAAAACCCTAAACCCTAAACCCTAAACACGATCAACCCTATACCCTAATAAACCCTAAACCCTAAACCCTAATAAACCCTAAACCCTAAACACGATCAACCCTATACCCTAATAAACCCTAAACCCTATACCCTAATAAACCCTAAACCCTAAACCCTAATAAACCCTAAACCCTAAACCCTAATAAACCCTAAACCCTAAACCCTAATTTTGCTTGCCTTTTGAACATGGTTGTGTTTCCCCATCTGCGCTGCAACTCCTGACGCGCCTCCTCAGGGGTGAGGGGTCCGAGTGTCTCTGGAGCTGTTTCTGCTGCTGCTGCTGCTGCTGCTTCTGCTGCTGTTGCTGCTGCTGCTGCTGCAGTTTGTGCTGCTGCTGATGCTGCTGCTGCTGCTGCTGTTGCTGCTGCTGCTGGATATGCAGAAACACTTAACCCCATTCCCTGCTCAGCTGCAGGATCTGTGATGCTGTTGCTGTTATGGTTGCGTGTGTTGTTGCTGCTGCTGCTGTTGCTGCTGCTGCTGCTGCTGCAGTCGTTGCTGCTACAGTCATTGCTGCTGCTGCTGCTGCTGCTGCTGCTGCTGCCTCGGAACCACTGCCTCCTTCCTCCGTCTCCTTGAAAACTTTGCTGCTGCACATTCCCCATCTTCTGTGGGCTGCTGCAGTTGCTGCTGCTGCTGCTGCTGCTGCTGCTGTAGTACACGCAGCTCCAGCCGCTGCTGCTGCTGCTACTGCTGCTGTTGCTGCTGCTGCT